GACAGAGGATGAGATGGCTGGATGGCATCACCGACTCGATAGGCATGAGTTTGAGTAAACTCCGGGAGTTGGTGATGGACAGGGAGGCCTGGCGTGCTGCGATTCATGGGGTCGCAAAGAGCCGGACACGACTGAGCGACTGAACTGAACTGAACTGACTGATACTATAGATTAAGAAGACTTGATATGATTATCCTTACTAATCATTTTGGAAGCAAACAGTAACATAAGGGCACTATATTACCACAAGCATAGTGGTAATAGGCTTGTCCCAACGGATCATCAGCAAATGCTAAAGGTCTCAGACCAAAATTGATGTTGGAAATCTGTGAAAATCAACCAAAATAAATCCTGGAGGCAGATAGCCTAGAATCACAGACTGCTAAGACAAGGGACCTTAGAGATACAAACCAATCTCATCACCTCTCACTTGGAACACCACAACAAGCCTCCCTCCTAACTGGTCTATGATCTCCACCTAAGAAGCCAAGCAATCTTTTAAAATTATAAATCAGATAGTGTTACTTTCCTGTTTAAAGCTGTCCAATGACTTCCCAGTAGATTTTATTCTAATTGTAAATTTTCTTCAATGACCTACATGATTCTAAATGATTTAGCCCTGCCTCTCTCCGGGTTCATTTCCTAATACTTTTCCCTTCATTCATCTGACACACACAGTCACAGCAGCCTTGTTTTTAACCCTTGAAAGTGTCCACCTCATTCCAAACTCAGAGCCCTTGTACCCATTCCCTCTTTCTGAAATGCTTTTCTCTCAGATTTTCTTGCGACCACCCTCTTCTCATCATTCAGACCCCTGCTCAAATAAATGTCACCCCCTCACACCTTTTCCCTCACCATCCTAGCTGAAGTAGTTCCCCACCACCATCAGAGTCACTATCTCATTATGCTGAGTTAGTTTTTTCATAGCATTTACTTCTTTATGAAATTACACCGTTTACTATCTGCATTTTGAGTCTCTGTCTCCCTCAACTAGAATGTAATCTCCAGGAAAGCAAGAGAGCAGGGACCATGTTGGTCTTCACCATTCTACTCCACTAACGAACACTCTCTGGCATAGTAAAGTCTCCACTAAACATCTGAATAAATATTTGTTGAGTAAATGAACACACAAACTTTTACACACATACAGTCACTAACAATCTCATGAGCCTAATGATTCCTTGCTGAGTTCCAAAACAGGGACCAACTTCCGAACATTGGAACTGGGATGCACCACTCTTTGGCTTGAGACAGTTGAGTAAAAACAAACAAGAACTTCTGTAGATACACAGAGACAAGAGGCTACTTTATGAAGTTATACATTCATTCAATAAATAATTTGCTGTGGATAGAGAGATATATAAGATATGTCCCTGCCTACATGGAACTTACGTCCACTGGGCAGACAGACATTAAAAGCAACTACAACTGACTCTTGAACAACACAGTTGTCAGGGACACCAACCCTCTGTGCAGTCAAAACTCCTGGTATAACTTTTTGTCAGCCCTCTGCAACCACATATTCAACCAACCACAGGTCGTGTAGTACTGTAGTAGTTACTACTAAAAAAAATCTGCATGTAAGTGGACCTGTGCAGGTCAAACTTGAGTTGCTCAAGGGTCAACTGTACAATAAAATGTAACAAATGTCAATAAATGTGATACAGCCATACAACAGAGTATTACCCAACCATAAAAAGGAACAAAGTATAGGCATACTTCATTTTATTGCACTTTACTACACTTTGCAGATAATGGACTTTTCACAAACTGAAAGTTTGTAGCAACCCTGAGTTGAGTGAGCACCGTTTTTCCAACAGCAGTTGCCCATTTTGTATCTCTCTGTCACTTTTGGTAATTCTCATCATCATATTTCAAACTTTTTCATTATATTACCTTTGTTATGGTGATCTGTGATCCGTGATCTTTGATGTTACCATTGTAAAGAGATTACGACTTGCTAAAGGCTCAGATGATGGTTAACATTTTGAGGTATGTACATTGTTTTATTTAGACAATACTATTGCACATTTCATAGACTATTATGTAATGTAAAAATAATTTTTACATGTACTGGGGAACCAAAAAAGTTCATGTTGCTCACTTTATTGTAGTACGTGCTTTATTGTGGTGGTCTGGAAGCACATCTCTTCTAGAGCTATGCCAGGATTGATATATGCTACAGCATGGATGAACCTTGAAACATGTTAAGTGAAAGGAGCTGGTCAAAAACCTCACATATTCTATGATTCCATTTATATAAGATACCCAACAATAGGCAAATCTACAGAAATAAAAATACATTCCTGGTTCCTTAGGGCTGGGAGGATAGTGGGATAATAGCTAAAAGGCACAGGATTTCTCTTTGAGGTCATGAAAATGTTCTAAAATTGACTGTGGAGTTGATGGTTGCACACAGCTCAGAACATACCAAAAGCCACACAAATAGGTGAATTTTATGAATTAGTGAGTTGACCTGCAAAAAGATGTTTTTCAAAATATAATAAATGCTATGGGAGAGCAAGAACATAAAACTACACACACATATATAGTTTAATGGTCAGGGAAGGCACTTATGAAAATAACGCAATCTTATGGCAGAAACCAACACAACACTGTAAAGCAATTATCCTCCAATTAAAAATTAAAAAATAATTTCTTTACAGTATTATCCTTCAATTAAAAATAAATAAATTTTAAAAAAACAAAGCAAAGAGAGAAAAGATCCCACGTCATGTGGCACAGCCAAAAAAAAACTGTTTAAAAATGTTTTCAAAAAAATAAAAAGGAAGAGAATTCTAACACATGCTAAAAAATATTAAAAAATAATGCAATCTGAAGAATGAGTAGGAGCTAGCCATCTAACAAAGCACATGGCATGGGTGAAAACTTGGCAATGAAACAAAGTCTAGTACTAGAACTTGTTCAATCTGTCTGGAATATAGAATCAAGGTAGCAAAGATAAGGATGTAAGAAGTAAAAAGGGATCTAATAATATGAGCTTTGTGTCTATGAGAAGCAATTCAAGTGTTTGCAGATAGAGGTTAAGAGGATGAGATGTACAGCTGCTCATTTCTACATCAAAGAGGAATGCGTCGTTCCATTCACCCAAGTGTACTCTTACAGATAAAATAATAAAGTATGATGACAATATACAGCAAAGTTGTTTTAATAGCAAATAAATGAATGGCTGGTAAATATAAGTACATAAAGGTTACTGTCAACACGAAAATATGTTTCTGACGATATCATACGGCATAGTTGTTACGAGTATAAACTTTGGAATCAGATGAACCCTGATTTAAATCCCAGATCTGCTACTTACTAGGTATATAATCTTGGGTGAATACTTAGCTACCCTGAACCTAAGTTCTCTCATTTATAAAATGGCAAAGATATTATCTACTCTATATGGTTGCTGCTAGTTAAAGGATATACTCTAGTGTGTGGTACATAATAAGCATTCAATAAATGTTAACTATTACTGTATTACTGTACCCTCTATCTCCTATTAGCCAACCTTCTTGAAAGAGTATTTTACACTTGTCTACTTATCCTCACTTCCTATGTGTTTATCTGTCTCTCCCTATTAGAATTAAAATGTCACGAAGGCCAGGACTTTTTTGTTCACCAACCTAGAACAGTATGTAGCACAAAAGACACTTGAACAATTTTGCAAGAAATGAATGAATGGTTAAACACACTCTCCAATGGGCAGCAATCTGGCTTTTGCAAACACCAATCCAGCAAACCTCCTCTAGAAAATATTAAACCCTACAGATTTTGCAGCCCTTATATTGGATCTCTCTATCCCAGTTATTTAGTATTAAATAACTTCTCATCCATTCTTGAAACTCATTTCTCCTTTGGCTTCTATGACAATAGTATCTCTTGTAAGTTCCCTCATATCTTTTGAACTGTTATCTTTTGGTGTCTTTCCTGAGTTCCTCATCAGTCAAGCCCTTAAAAATTGGGAGTTCTTTCTTTTGCCCTACTCTTCTCTCTATACCAGTGATTGTCAAGTGGAAGGGTGAGCATGTTAGAAACAGAAAGGAGGGCTTTTGCAAAACTCTACTCTTCAGAGTATGAGAATCATTGCTTCTGTGAATCACTAGCAATGGAAGGAGCATTACAATACTCCAGTGTGTGACGCAAGCAACAAACTTGTGAACTCTTCTTCCTGCTCTCCTTGGTCTCCCCCTCCACAGTTATATAACACCTGTACACTACTGTTTCCTCAAGTTCTTACCTCCACCCCTGAACCTCCAAGTTAAGACTAGGATATCCAAATACATTCACTGGGTATTCCCCACGCACCTCAAACTAAGTATCACAGAACTGTGATGTCCCCCACAAAACCTGCTCCTTTTCCTGTAATGTCTGTCAATAAAAGTCACATGGTCACCCAAACCAAAAACTGGCAAGTTATCTCTGACACCGTCTTTCTCCCCCACCTCTCCACACCAAGTCAACCAAATCCTGTTGACTTTATCAATTAAAGTCTATCCCTAAAAAAAAAAAAAAGTCTATCTCTACTGTTCATGCCAAGTTCAGCCTCTCATCACCTCTTGCTCAGGCCACTCTAAGAGCCTCCCACCAAGTTTCCCTATCCCTAGGTCAGCAGTTCTCTAAGTGTGGTCCCAAACTAGCAGCATCAGTATTGCCTGGGAACTGGTTAGAAATGCAAATTCTCAGGTCCTACTCCAAACTTACTGAATCACAGTCTGGTGATGGGGCCTAACCATCGGCATTTTAACAAGCCCTCCAGGTGGTACAGATACATGTTAAAGTTTTCAGGCTTATTCCCTTGGTTTTATGGTTTTCAACCTTGGGTGAGCATTGCAATCACCTGAGGAGTTTTGAAAATCCTGACAATCTGGTTCCTACTCCAGACATTCTGAGCAGTGGTCCCCATCCTTTTTGGCACCAGAGATCAGTTTTGTAGAAGACAATTTTTCCATGGACTGGGGGAGCAAGACGGTTTTGAGATAATTCAAGCATATTACATTTCTTGTGCACTTTATTTCCATTACTATTACATCAGCTCCATTTAAGATCATCAGGCATTAGACCCCAGAGGGTGGGGATCCCTATTCTGATGTCAATGGTCTAAGGTGAGCACAGAAGCTGAGAACATTCCCCAGGTGATTCCAATGTGCACTTAAGATTGAGAACCACTATCTTAGATCCATTCTCCACAAAGCCAGCATGATCTATTTAAAACTTAAATCTGACCTGATTAAATCTTTCAAGAGCACCTCATCAACTAAAAAAAATAAGCCCAAGCATCTCAACATAGCATTTAATATCCTTTATAACTTAACTAACCCTCAGCCACCAACATAGGGAAGGCACCATGGTGTAGTTAAAAATGTTGGTTTGAAACCAATGGTCTGAGTTGAAATCCCAGCTCTCCCACCAACTAGCTGTGAAACCCTGGGCAGGTTAATTAACCTCTTAGTGCTTCAGTGTGCTGTAATTGTGAGGATTAAATGAATGAATACATGTAAGTCTCATTAGAACAGTCCCTGATAAAGCACTCAACAGATGTGAGTTATTATATTCAGTATTCTTCCATCTACAGGAAACCTATCCCAAATTTCCAAACTGGACTAAAATTTCCTCCCATAGAGCCCTGAGTTTATCACTTAACAAGACGTGTTGATTATCTGTTTGTATACCTGCAATACACTGTAATTTCTCTGTTTCTACTAAAATGGTGCCTGGGGACATCCCTGGCAGTAGTGAATAAGAATCCACCTGCCAATACAGAGGACATGGGTCTGATCCCTGATCCAGGAGGATGAAGACCCAGCACAACCAATAACTAATTAAAAAATAAAATATTAATAAAATAAAATGGTATCTGATAGATAATAGTTAACTGAACTGATAACAGCAGAGAAACCATATGATAGTATCATATTTTAGCTCCAAATTTGCTTTTCTAGAAGTATTATTACTAGTGGTTATATAGTGCATAATACCAGTATGACTCTCAGCTTCCTACAAACATAACACAGCAGAAACTTTCAAAGCCAAACTGGGAACAATAGTACAATACTGAACTAGAATCAAGTATCAGATTTTCTATTACAGCATCTCTGGCTTGTCTGAAGTGGGCAAATGTGGAATACGTCAGGTCCTTTTCATCAGTAATTCTACATGGTGCTATTGATAAGGTATCCTGAAGTCTTAAGCATTCAAACTGGAATAATAATATCAAGGACCACTAAGCATCAGCAGATTACCAAGGAGATAGTTTTCCTACCTGGCAATTACTCTGAGAGGCTACTAAAAATAGACATAATGATTCTTCCATCTTCAGAGCAGCAACTAAGAATAAGGACTGCAAGAAGGTCTGAGGCATCAAAGAAAATAAAAAACATAATCCAAGTTCACTATGTGCATACCTTTAAAATGCCATCCAAAGTGCCCTTATAGAGGTCCACATGTCCCACAATCGCCCTCTGGTTCATCATGCGAGTTCGTACCACATCAACTGGATTGGAAGCCAGAGCCCCAGCCAAGCCACATGTAAAGCTGGAACTAAAGATAAAAACTGTAAGAAGACAGACTGCCCCACTTCCACCTCTGCCCGCGTAAACAGAAATTAGGTTAAACATAAATGTACAATGAGTCAGACATCACAGAAAACCTGGCACTTGCTCTTTTATTACAAACTAAAGAGAAAGGAAATCTTTACTAAAGAGACATTAGTCAAAAGCTGTCCCCTTCACTTTTCAATCCAAAATTCATATGGCCTTTAAAAAAAAAGAGAGAGAGAGAGATAGTCTGTAAGTCTAGGAAGTTTCCTAAGCAGGAAGTATTATGCGTCATCTATTAGTTATGTAAAATTTTCAAGTCACAACATCATATGCAAAAGGAGTTTAAGTAGTAAAATATCATAAAAGTTGCAAGATGAAAAAAATGTAAGACGAAATGAGCAACATTTCAGTCCAAAACTGTGGTCTTGCTTCATAAGCCCTATAAAATTTCACCCTTTTATTTTTTTTATCATTGAGAAAATTTGCTTTCTGACCCAAAATTAATCAAAGCAAATAACCAGATGAGTTTAAAAGGTATAGAGTGTATATATGAACAAATTCAAATACTGCAGACATCTGGAATTAGACACTGCTCCCAAGTACCAAAGGGCCTACTGCATCTGGAATCTCTGTACGTTTATCAGAAGGCTTGAAGTTCTGGTGATGAGAGAGAAAAAGGTATTTAGGCCATATGTACTCATTACCAATTCTAGATGAGGACTTCAGTGAAAGATGCTTTTTGTGCTTGAAGTACTGACAATATGGAATGAACACAACCTATCTGACTTACACAAAGTGAGTTAAGATTGTGTCTCCCATCAGCCCTGACAATATCAAGTGCTTCTTCGTAATATCATACACTGGTAGCTCTACTCCCACAACGATGGCAGCCCGCTGAGCAGTCGGGACAACACCCTACAAAACATAAGTGACATGAGACACTGCGGAAATACATTGGTAGTGAGTTAAGTCAAAAGGTGAACAAAATAGGCCAGGAATTTAAAAATGGCAGAAAAAAATCCAAGTCTGCAGCATAAGATCACTCTTTCACATCAATTGCATATATTGAAACACTTATAAATTCCCAATTCACTTACTGTACTAAAAATGAAATCACTGATATGACACCTAAAGCACAAACAACGAAAGAAAAATAGATAAATGGACTTCATCATAATTAAACATTCTTGTGATTAGTAAAACGACAACCCACACAATGGGAGAAAATATTTGCAAATCATATATCTGGACTAGTACAAAGCATATATTATATTAATATATGGACTAGTATCCAAAATATATAAAGAACTGTTACAACTCGACAATAAAAGGACAAACAACCCAATTTTTAAAATGTGCAAAAGACAAAGACAGAAATATAGATCAATGGAACAAAATAGAAAGCCCAGAGATAAATCCACGTACCTATGGACACCTTATCTTCAACAAAGGAGGCAAGAATATACAATGGAAAAAAGACAACCTCTTTAACAAGTGGTGCTGGGAAAACTGGTCAACCACTTGTAAAAGAATGAAACTAGAACACTTTCTAACACCATANCTAAAAATCCCAAAAGGACCAGTTAAACAACAGCAAAGCCTCTAATACAAGCCTGGGAAATAGGAGAATCAGTTCTATGAAACCTATCTTGTTAAAAAAAAATTTTTTAGACAATATTCTAAAATTCCACACGATGGAGTCATTACTCCATGAAGGAAACATTTTTCTTAGTTACCTTTTATGCTTTCATTCATTTACTCAACTAGTTATTGAGCATCTACTATTGAGTCTACTGTGCTAGGCACTGGGTATATACAGGGAAATGGCAATAAATGGTTCCTGCTCTCAAAGAGAAAGAGACTAAAGGAGACAGATATTAAACTAATAGATCGCCAGTCCAGGTTGGATGCATGAGACAAGTGCTCGGGGCTGGTGCACTGGAATGACCCAGAGGGATGGGGTGGGGAGGGAGGTGTGAGGGGGGTTCAGGATAGGGAACACATGTAAATCCATGGCTGATTCATGTCAATGTATGGGAAAAACCACTACAATATTGTAAAGTAATTAGCCTCCAACTAATAAAAATAAATGAAAAAAAGATGTGCAAAAGATCTAAATAGACATTTTCCCAAAGAAGATATACAATTATATACTGCTGGTGGGAATACCATATAGAGCAGCCACTGTGATAAACACTTTTGCAATTCCTGAAAAAGTTAAACATCGAATTACTATATGACCAATCAATTTTGCATCCAGATATACCCAGGAGAATTAAACATGTATTTATGCAAAAACTTGTACATAAATGTTCATAACATCATTATTCATAATAGCCCAAAAGTACAAACACTTATTAATTGATGAAAGGATAAACAAAATGTGGTATGTACATACAATAGAATTATTATTCAGCCATAAACAGAAATGAAGTACTGATAAATGCTGAAACACAGATGAAACATTTAGAATAGTATGCTAAACTAAAGAAGCCAGTCATAAATGCCACATATTATATAATTACATTTACATGAATTGCCAGAATTGGGAAACCTATAAAGACAGAAAGCAGATTAGTATTTGCCTAGGTCTGGGAGGGCTGGAGGTTGTGAGAAGTGACTATGAATGGGTATAGGGTTTTTTTCTCTGATGATGAGATATTCTAAACTTAGATGCTGGTGATGGCTGTACAAGTCTGTGGATATCCAAAAAACATTATATACTTTAAGATGGCAAATTTTATGGTATGTGAATTATCTGAATAAAGATGTTGGGCTTCCCTGGTGGTCTAGTGGTTGGGAAACCAACTGCCAATGCAGGGGACATGGGTTCAATCCCTGGTCCGGGAGGATCCCACATGGCCAGCAGTAACTAAGCCTGGGAGCAACAACTATCGAGCCTGCCCTAGAGTTCGCGCTCCACAACAAGAGAACCCACCACAATGAAAAGCCCACACACTGCAACGAAGAGTAGCTTCCACTTGCCACAACTAGAGAAAGTCCACGCACAGCAACAAAGACCCAGCAAAGCCAAGAATAAATAAATAAATAATTTTAAAAATAAAAGCATGAAGCAAAAGTCAGTAGGGAGAGGACAGCCTTCCAGTTTAAGTCACAGAATTTAGAATGTGCACAAAGGATACACTAGGATCACACAAAAGGTATGACATAGCCAGGGAGAAGGTCAAGACCAAGTATACTTCCTTACAAGTCCTCCTGCAGTAACACTACCAGCTTTTCAGTCACAAGCACACTATTTCTCTCACAGCTTACATTACAACACAGGGTTGCTAGAGCATTAAAAAGTCATGTTTTTGAAGAATAAGAATAACACCACAAAATGCTTATAATGCTAAAGAAGGGAAGAGATAGCATTATTCTAACCGGGCTTCCCAGATGGCTCAGTGGTAAAGACTCTGCCTGCCAGTGTAGGAGACATGGGAGACGCAGGTTCGATTCCTGGGTCAGGAAGATCTCCTGGAGTAGCAAATGGCAACCCATTCCAGTATTCTTGGCTGGGAAATCCCATGGACAGAGGAGCCTGGTGGGCTATAATCCATGGGGTCGCAAAGCATCAGACGTGACTGAAGTGACTGAGCATTCTAACTTTAGGAGGAGAGGTATATACACAAATGACAAATTTATGTAAAAATTTTTACAAGGAATATTTTACTTTTATAACTATTTAAATATCATTAAAAAAACGGAGGGACTTCCCTGCTGGTCCAGTGGTTATGACTCCATGCTTCCAATCTAGGGGGCATGAGTTCAATCCCTGGTTGGGGAGCTAAGATCCCACATGCTGTGTGACATGGCCAAAAAATAAAATTTAAAATAATTTGATAAAAAACTGAAAATAATATACTAGGAGGAGTAACTGCTTTCTGGGATACCTGTTAAAATTAAGAGTTCAATCTTCTCCAAATTCCCAAATGCAATTCATAAAGTGGACGTGATGGAGCTGTGCTATCATCTGATGCTTGATTCTGCTGAGCAGGCTGGTTCGCCCAGCAGTACCTTCCTCTCTGACCCTTCCACCTGCTCAACTCTGTTAGGAGGTGGTCCCAGAAGACTAATTTGGTGAACAGTATGGCCCCATGGGGTGAATTTTGGTCACAGACATGTCTTGCGTGGCCTACACAGTGTTTCTTAGAAGGCTGAATTAGCTGTCAACATAAAAAAAAAAAACCACGAAAAAAAAAAATACCACAGGAATGGATACTTCACACAGGAATGCTGATTTTCAGCCTCTCTTGAAAGCACCATGGACTCCCATGGCGCACGGCAGCAATGAACAGGGCAAGTGCTCTCCAAGTCACCGCTCTGCTATCTCTCCAACCCTGACCTAAGCACCAGTCACTTTCTTACTGTACTCCTGTTGTTCTTTCTAACAGTGGAGTTAGGAAGAAAGGGGAATGCTTCCAGTGAAAATGAAATGTTTCCAGTACCCATGTTATTACAATCAAACCAAGAAAATAAAACACAGACGAAAAGGGCTCTGTATTTGAAGAAAAACGTAAACATACTTCCCTGTTGAAATGAAAAAAAAGATTCCTGCATTTTAATATGTAAATAATACAGGTCTGTGTCAAAAGAATGTGCTAAGTTGCTCGGTCATGTCTGACTCTTTGCGACCCCATGGACTGTAGCCCACCAGGCTCCTCTGTCCATGGGATTCTCCAGGCAAGAATACTGGAGTGGGTTGCCATGCCCTTCTCCAGGGGATCTTCCCAACCCAGGGATTGAACCTACGTCTCTTACACTAGCAGGTGGGTTTTGTACCATTAGCGCCACCTGGGAAGTCAAAAGAATACATAACACAATGTATTTCACTTCTTTACCTTACATGTCTGGATGATGTAAATAGCCCAGATTGTAAAAGTAGCCATTTTCAATTCCTCAAAAAATTAAATAGAATTATCATACAACCCAGCAGTCCCACTTCTGGGTATATACACAAAGAATTAAAATCAGTCTTGAAAAGGTATCTGCATATACATGTTCACAGCAGCATTATTCACAAGAGCCAAAATACAGAAACAAACTAAATGTTCATCAATGGATGAATGGATTAACAAAATGCAGTGTATGTATGTAATAGAGTATTGTTCAGCTTTAAAAAAGGAATTCTGACCCATGTAACAACATGGTCGAACCTTAAGGACATTACGCTAAATGAAATAAACCAGTAATAAAAAGACAAATACTGTATGATTCCACTTACACAAGGTACCCAGAACCATCAAATTCATAGGGAGATAATAAAAGGCTGGTGGCCGGGGCTGGGGGAGGAGGAAATGGCACGCTGTTGTTTAATGGGTATAGAGTCCCAATTTTGCAGGATGAAAAGAATTCTGGAGACTGGTTGTATAACTATGTAAAATTGTGTTATATATATTTTATTACAACTAAAAGATTATTTTAAATAAAAATAACAGTTGTACAACTATGTAAAATTGTGTTATATATATTTTATTACAATTAAAAGATTATTTTAAATGAAAATTAAGTAGTTATGTCCCCCTGACAAAATCTCCAATTCTATTTATTGCTCTGTCTTTGTCTTTCTCCTAGCATTAGTTTGTGAAAGAGTTCTAGTTAGTTCCATTTTCTGGTTTTAAATTAGACTAATCAAGATACGGTACCTCAAAGGGCCTTTTTATCAAAAAGCAAACCTCAAGTGTCATTGATGGATGCCATTGATGAAAGGTTATTAAGTAACAGAATATATGCATGTTGTTGTTAGATATATTACAGCACTGTTTATAATTGCCAGGACATGGAAGCAACCTAGATGCCCATCAGCAGACGAATGGATAAGGAAGCTATGGTACATATACACTATGGAATGGATGGGGAGGGAGGCAGGAGAGGGGATTGGGATGGGGAACACATGTAAATCCATGGCTGATTCATGTCAATGTATGGGAAAAACCACTACAATATTGTAAAGTAATTAGCCTCCAACTGATAAAAATAAATGAAAAAAAAAAGATATATTACCATAAACATGACCTGCTAATTGCAAAGGGGGGAAAACTTATCTTTTATTATGGTAAGAGGTGGTGGACAGTATCTTAACAAGTGAACAAACTTGGAATCACTAATTTGGGGACAACCTAATGTTATGTGCTTCTTGCTGTGGTGCAATATGACATACAGGGTCACCTATGAAGCTCTCTTACCAAAAACATTTCACATGCATCTAACCAAGCCAACAGATCTAACCTTCAGCATACAGAAAATACAGGGGAAATGCAAGGAAACATTTTATAAGAAAACTGAATATGGACTGGGTATTAGGTATTAGGGACTTATTAATTTTCTGAGGTGTGACAATTTGTTGTTGTTGTTCAGTCACTCAGTCGTCCAACTCTTTGCGACCCCATGGACTGCAGCACGTAAGGCTTCCCTGTCCTTCACCATGTCCCAGAGCTTGCTCAAACTCATGTCCATTGAGTCAGTGATGCTATCCAACCATCCCATCCTCTGTTGTCCCCTTCTCTTCCTGCCTTCAATCTTGCCCAGCATCAGGGCCCTTCTAATGAGTCAGTTCTTCACATCAGGTGGCCAAAATATTGGAGCTTTTATTGTCATCATGTAGGAGAATGTCCTTATTCTTAGGACATGCATAACAAAGTTCTTAGGGGAGTACTATGATGTCTGCAACTTCCTTTCAAATAGTTTAGCAAAAACAAAGAGTATGTGTGTGTGTGGGTATGCATGTGTATATATATATATATATATATATGTAAGTAGATAAAGCAAATATGACTAAACTTTGAGTCATTTAATCCAGGTGTGTAGGTTCTGTTCATTGTTGTGTTCTTTCAACTTTTCTGTATGTTTGACATTCCCTGGTGGCCAAGAAGGTAAAGAATCTGCCTTCAATGCAGGAGATGTGGGTTCGATCCCTGGGTTGGGGAGATCCTCTGCAGGAAGGCATGGCAACCCACTCCAGTATTCTTGCCTGGAGAATACCCATGGACAGAGGAGCCTGGAAGGCTCCATGGGGTTGCAAAGAGTCAGACATGACTGAGCGACTAAGCACAGCACAGCACAGTTAGGGAAAATTATAAAGAAAGAATAAAATTGAGTCTCTCCCTTTTAAGAACCTATTAATGAATTTCCCATTATACTCTGTACTACTAGTAACCTTATTTAATATTACAAACTTAAGTGATTAACATAGGATAAAAAGTTATAGGGACAAAAAAAACCCCAAAGTACACATAGAAGACTGGAAGATAATATGACAAAATGTTAACAGTGATATTTCTAGTTAGTGGGATTACTGGATATTTTTCTTCTTTATATATTTTCTCAATACTTTATAGTATATCTTTTAACTTTTATAATGTTAAAGTGACCAATCCAAAGAAATGGAGAAAAACAACAAAATGGGAATGACCAGAGATCTCTTCAAGAAAATTAGATACCCAAAGATGGGCTCAATAAAGGACAGAAATGGTAGGGACCTAACAGAAGCAGGAGATATTAAGAAGTGGCAAGAATACACAGAAGAGCTATACAAAAAAGATCTTCATAACCCAGATAATCATGATGCTGTGATCACTCACCTAGAGCCAAACATCCTGGAATGCGAAGTCAAGTGGGCCTTAGGAAGCATCATTATGAACAAAGCTAGTGGAGGTGATGGAATTCCAGTGGAACTATTGCAAATCCTAAAAGATGATGCTGTGAAAGTGTTGCACTCAATATGCCAGAAAATTTGGAAAACACAGCAGTGGCCACAGAACTGGGAAAGGACCCTTTTCATTCCAGTCCCTAAGAAAGGTAATGCCAGAGAATGCTCAAACTACTGCACAATTGCACTCATCTCACACACTAGCAAAGTGATACTCAAAATTCTCCAAGCCAGGCTTCAACGGTATGTGAACTGTGATCTTCCAGATGTTCAAGTTGGTTTTAGAAAAGGCAGAGGAACCAGAGATCAAATTGCCAACATCCACTGGATCATCAAAAAAGCAAGAGAATATCAGAAAAAAAAATCTACTTTTGCTTTATTAACTGTGCCAAAGCCTTTGACTGTGTGGATCACAGCAAACTGTGGATAATTCTGAAAGAGATGGGAATACCAACCACCTGACCGTCCTCCTGAGAAATCTGTATACAGGTCAAGAAGCAACAGCTAGAACTGGACATGTAACAAGAGACTGGTTCCAAATAGGAAAAGGAGTACCTCAAGGCTGTATATTGTCACCCTGTTTATTTAACTTATATGCAGAGTACATCATGAGAAACACTGGACTGGAAGAANTCAATCCTAAAGGAAATAAGTCCTGAATATTCACTGCAAGCACTAGTGCTGAAGCTGAAGCTCCAATGCTTTGGCCACCTGATGTGAAGAACTGACTTATTAAAAAATACCCTGATGCTGGGAAGATTGAAGGCAGGAGAAAGGGACAACAGAGGATGAGATGGTTGGATGGCATCACTGACTCAATGGACATGAGTTTGAGTAAACTCCAGGAGTTGGTGATGGACAGGGAGGCCTGGGGTGCTGCAGTCCATGGGGTCGCAAAGAGTCGGACACGACTAAGTGACTGAACTGAACTGAAAGGCAACTGATAAGTTTTGGTCCTTTCAAAGGTGATGAGGAGCTTCTTACCTTCTTATCTTTTGGGGGTTATCAAGAATCTTGCATAGTATAAGGTGACAATTCACAATTTTATGCCTTTATATAAAAGGTCTTCTTCACAAATTCCAGGTGTAAAGAATAACACCAAGAGTACTCACCCTCCACAAACCCCGGGTACCTTCTTGTTGGTATATATCAATGAAGCTACCAATCATGCTGCCTTGGAACAAGCTTCCTTGAGCCTGCATTCGAATCTAAAATTGGAAGAGGTGCACATTTTGTTTTGTCAGAGAACCAAAATGAAACGTTTCACTCATTTAAAATGAAGAAAACAGTATTTGGGAATTATCAAAAAAAAATCAGCCTGCTATTATGATGAAATTAATGACTTAAGCTATGTATAGAAAGCATTATTTGTGTCAAAGTATATTTTATAAAGATGATTTTCATCAGTCTCACATTTTTTCATTTCTGGAATTGGAAGAAAATTGGGGGAAAAAAAAGAACAAGTACTCAGAGAGGGTAGAAAAGAATCCATTTAAACTATGATTAGTTTAGTGAAAAACTAGAAACAACCTACATGTTCAAAAATAACAAAGGATTAGTTGCATAAAGTATAAAACATCCATTTAATGGAATAGTATGCAGCCATAAAATTTGATTGTAGAATAATATTTGTGGATATTTGAAAATGTCGACAATTAACTGCTAGATAGAAAAAGCAGGCTGCAAAGCAGTATGTATGGCATATCATTTTTATCAAAAATACATAAACTTAAAAATAACCATATGCACAACCAAATGTTGATGGTAGCTTAAGTTTAAGTGACGAAGCCACAAATGGGCATTTCTCTCTTCTGTGTTTTTCCTGCCTTCCACTTTTTGCTACATTGAATATGCATTGTTTATTGAGGTGTAAAAAGCAGGGGGGGGGAAGTTTTAAAATATAATTTAATGCTCACAAGACCTTACATTGAGTTTTACTGTAAAAAGCATGACACTGTATTTGGCAAAGTAGCCTCTGAGAGGTACAAGAAAGGGGTGATAGCATTGACAGGCCATGTCAAAGATCTGGTACAACTCACCACTGAGAGCACACACAGATATAGTAGTCAGTCTCTAAATTCTAGTGGACCAAATGCAGGCCTGATTTTCATGAAGCACAACTCTAGGTTTTAATAAATGTTCTTAGTAAGTCATGGTACAGGCATATGTTTTTATGTGGAAAGTCCACTGCTACTACTAAGAGTGTAGAAATAAAACCTAAACCATATTAAAATGAAATAGAAACTATCACAAAGACAAACTGAAACCATAAATAACCTATGGTAAGTAGAGGACTTCTTTATGGAGGTAGTTCCTGAGCAGGGTTGGGATGACATCGAGGTAAGTGTGGCACTTTCCTCAGTCACAGAATGTAGCAGGAGGGTGTAAAAAAACCTCAGTAATTCAGATAAATGATATTTCAATGCAATATTTTAAAAAATCAAAATGAATGTACAAAAACCTATGATGAACCAATCATCAAAACTGTAACTAAAGACAGGATCCAATAGGGCAGGATTTAACGTAAGCAAGTGAGATGGATTGTACAAAACATGGTTATTTTGTTTCATCATGAAATTTTTGCACTCATTTTCACTTTTAAAAACAATTGCATAAAATGTTATTTCTCTTGATTATTGAGGTTTTTTCGGCACATCCTTACATTTTGCACCCAAGCAGAGTATCTCACTTGTGTTGTCCTAGTCCTGACTCTGTTTCTGAGCCATCTTGAAGGACAAATTCATGAGCAAAGGAGGAAAAATCATTGCAGGCAAAAAGAGAACTACATGTACACAGGCAAGAAAGCAGCACACAGTTCAGAGAGAGAACCACTCAAGGATAAGTGAAAGGATTAAACAGATCAACAGTGATTATAATTCCTAATATGATTGTGACTACCCTGGTCCCCCCCTCCCCAGGACCACTCACCACTCAGCCCTACCTAAGTATAAGAAAGGAAAAGGCAGACTGTAGCGTTGGTCAGTGGTTGCAACTGTACCAGACAAGTCAGAGGGACAGGAAACTGAAGTGAATCTGAAAAGCACCTTCTAACAAGTGTAATTACATGGCAAATATGTTAGAGTTTTAGGATACAGTCAGTTATCTTTAAAAAATACTTAGTCTGTATAATCTAAAGTGATATAAAAATTCTGTAGGTAAAATTTTCTCAATTTAATCCAGAAATATCATTTTCATAGATTCTTCATCAACCACCACTGGTTTCTTACATGTGTACTGTTTTTCAAGTCACTCTCTCGGTTCTCAAAACTCTCTGAATCACAACAGATGCCCTTTCCACTTAACCTAGCCACCTGTGGTTTCAAATAAATAAAGTATATGTTCTCTTACTTTTTTTCCCTCACATTTCCCCTAAAATAATTTTTTAAAACTTGGGATCTTCTTATACATCTCAATCATATATTTAGTAATTTTAATTATCATAAGTTTAAATGAGTTAATAAATTGGAAATGTTTACCATTCTATCTCAAATATAAGATATAGATTGATACTATTAAATCAAATCCAATTATTAGATTAAATATAGATTGATATTACTGATATAATTAAATAAATGTTTCATTCTGTGTTCTGATAAATACTGAAAGAAATCCAATTATATTGTAAAAAACTCAGTACCACTAACCTATAATGTTCTGGTCCTGAATTCAGAATATCTCAACATAAGCCAAAATATATAATTTTAAAGCCAAATCTCATCCTTAATAGAAATATGGATAAGACAGGAAAAGACATCGACATCATAGACTTAAGATACCTCAATTAGTCATTAAAGAAGGTTTCTCTAAAACTGTCTTTCAGTGTATCCCTTTGCTTGCTATTCCAGGTTACACTACAGGTCAATATACCATACTAAGATTTGGGATGGGTGGGGGAATATGCCTTTCTCTTTTAAAGTGGGGAAAGGGTTGTTATAAACATGAGTTCATTTTTAGATCAGTTTTTGAGAAGGGTATAAAGAAAGTAAGGGATCTGGAAATCGATTCCCCTAAAATTGCATAGCCCTTGGAAAGAATGTTTAAAGGTTAGCATACTCTATAGTCTGAAGACTAATGGATTAATATATATCATAATAAATTGACTACTATTTATTGAGCATCTACTACCTACCATGTGTAATGATAGTTTACATATATTATCTTTAATTCTTAACAACTTCATGTATTATATACTGAATTATCTTCATTTTACAAATGAGAAAACTGAGGCTTTAAGCAGTTAAGTGATCTGCCCAAGGTTTTACAGTTGGCAAGTGACACAGTAGTGATTTGTGACCAAACCTGTTACAAAGCTCATGCTCTTTGCTTCACACTGAATACACCCAATGCAACCAGACTTCTCTTACCTTCAGCACATCGGTGGGATTGGCTATAGCAGAAGATATCACTCCTGACACTACCCCACATATCATATTAATTAAAAGAGTTTCATCTGTAAAAAGGAACAAGAAAAGGAAAGGTCTGCTTACAAGAGGCACTGAGAAGAGAGTTTCTGAAAAGAGAGTACTGAGCTATCAGAGGAAGGGAACCATGGTCAAAGAAATGACTGTAGAAATGAACTACAAAGCTTATAAAAATAAAGAAACTCAAATATTTCTAGGTTCCAAAGGAGTACTGAAACAAACAATTTGTAAAACAGATTATTTTAAAATATTTCTAAAATACACTGGAATATATCCTATTATTCTATATAACTGTCAATATTCCATATAAATTCAGAAAGTGCAAATAGCACTTTAATCACTTCAAACATCTAAAGAAAAAATTTTGTCTCTTTCTAGATAATTATCAACTCTAAAGACTCAGAACCAAATATTAAAAAATAAAATCTTATGTCTAATAGAAAAAAATTTCCTAAATACTAATTTTAATTGGCCTTGATAACTACTAGCATCTATTTATTTACAGAAGATTTCTGTAGTTAAATGTGAAAAACTAGTCATTTGGAACTAAATTCTCTCAGCTAGAAAAAAGAAGAAAGAAACCACAGAGCATATTATTCTAAAATTCAATCTTCACCATGCCTCCTCACCATGAAGAGACTACGAAGAGAAACTAGGTAAACCCAAGTGGAGAATATGTGAGAGGAAATTATTTCAGGACTAGAATACTTCAGGATCCTTAAAGAGGAGGCTTCAGAAAAAGCTGATTTAGAAAATAAAGCAATTCAAAGGACATTACTAACCGAAAAGCTCTCCAGCTGTCCCCAACTATGCAACAGCCTCAGGCCTGTAGTAAAATAATCATTTTAGTACAGTATTTAGCTGAAAAAGCTATAGCAGCAAATAGACATATGGTAATGCTGAATGTGGGTTAAGATGACCATATTTTATGTATATATAAAACCACTCTATCTAACCAAAGCTTATTAAAACCCACAGCTAGAGGATTCCTTATAGTTGAAGTTCTCTTATAGATGAGGACAGCATTAATTTTCTCAACAAGTTTGTTCCATGTTCCCTCTGTGATGACCAGAAGCCTTTTTTTGTTTCACAGGAAAAGGGACAAACTTGAAGAGCAGATCCCTCAAACCTATAGTGGGATTAATCTCAAATCAGTACAAGCTTAGTTTGACCTTGCAATGACTACTATCCATTCTCAGACACCCCATGATTAACACTTCTCACTAAGCACAATTTTAACAATCCCTTTGAGTGTTATCTCAAAAGAGAATGAGGAGTCTACACTGACCTTCTAAACGTTCTACAAATAATCTCTTCAAGCTCTGGTAAATGCCGATTTTAATGGTGCCATATGATGCCTGTCTTAGTAAAGCAGGAGCAATTCTGCCAAAGAGAAAGAAAGAAAAAAAAGTTATCCTTATCGTATACTTGCAGATTATACATATCTAGACTGCCTATTCACTTCCATCACCCACCTCGTTCCATAAAAACAGCAAAATATGCATTGTTTTCAAGTATCCATGGAACATGTACCAAGACAGCATATTTGGGTCATAAAACAAACCTCAAAAAATTTAAAATAATTGATATTATATACATTATGTTCTCTCACCATAATGGAATGAAATTGGAAATCAGTAAGGTAAGGAAAACTCACAAACACTTGGAAATTAAATGGTACTTCTAAAAAATCCTTGGGTGACATTGGTGTATTTTTTAAATACATAAAATTGAATGAAAATGAAATTTCAACCTTTTACAATACGTGGGATGCAGCCAAAGCAGTGCTGAGAGAGAAATTTATAGCACAAAATGCTTACATTAGAAAAGAAGGAGAGTCTCAAAATCAATAATCTAAGTTCCTACCCTCACGAAACAATAAAAAAGAAGAGCAAAATGAACCCAAAGCAAGCAGAAGGAAGTAAATAATAAACGGCATAAATTAATAAAATTGAAAACAGGAAAATAGAGAAAAATCAATGAAACAAAAAGTTATTCCGAAAAAAGTCAACAAAATTAATAAACCTCTAGTAAGGGTCATGGTAGTAACAGGAGAAAAACAGTAAGTCACCAGTATCAGGAATGACATGGGGAATAGCACTACAACCCTACAGTCATTAGAAGAATGGTGGGCCAGTTGTAAAGAATCCACCTGCAATGCAGGAGACCCGGGTTTGATCCCTGGGTTGGGAAGGTCCCTTGGGAGAAGGGAATGGCTAATATTCTTGCCTGGATAATCCCATGGACAGAGGAGCCTAGCGGGCTATAGTCCATGGGGTTTCAAAAGAGTTGGACATGATTTAGTGACTCAACAACAATAAACAACCTTATGCTATAAATTCAACAACTTAGAAGAAATGGATTAATTCTTTGAGAACCACAAACTACGAAAATTCAATCAATATGGAATAGATAATCCAAATAATCTCATAACATCTAAAACATTTTTATTTATAATTTAAAAGTTTCCAAAAAGGAAATCTCCAGGCCCAGATAATTTCACTAGGGAATTCTATGAAACATTTAATAAATTAACACCAATCTTACACAATCTCTTCCAGAAAACAGAAGAGGGAACACTTCTCAACTTATTTTATGTAGCTAGTATTACCCTGATAACAAAACCAGAAAAAAAAAAACAGTATAGAAAAGGAAAACTACAACCCAATATCTCTCATGAACCTAGATATGAAAATCTTTAACAAAATATTAGCAAATTGAATCCAGTAATGCAGAAGAAGTATACACTATTACCTGCTTCATAGATTTTTTTTTAATCCACATTAATTCCTAGCAGTTGCAGATACAACTTTAATCTTATCCAGGAGACACCAGAGCCAAGATTTCACTCTATTTAAGTTCTGCTTATAAACTGGAGACATTCTCACTCATACCTCCTTTGAGATTCTTCCATATTGCAGAATTAAACTTTAGCAGTTATAAATAGAAAGAGCAGCAATTCAAACAGTTAAGATTTTAAAATGATGACAAAACATGCATATTTCTGGCTTTATTGCTTGCTATCTGAAAAAAATATCTTGTGATTATCGGTGCCGATGAAAGAACAAGGTAAAACACATGATCCATGACTCACTTGCTTCAGGATGTAATTCTTGATTTTTTTTCCCCAAGTAAATTATCTTTGAAATTAAGTCCAACATAAGTTAATAATAAAATTGATATCCATTCCCAGAGCAATAAACTGGGACCCTAGATGCAGAAGTGGACTAGTAAATTGGCAGCAGATTAAACAACACAGTGGACAATAAGCCACCAACTTATGAATAATCAACAGATGACCCTCCCCCAAAATGGTGGGTCTCCTTCTCTCTTATTCCTCATTTTCTGTTTAAACTGCCAGAATAGTATTTCTTAAAAGAGGAAAAAAAATTTAAGTCATGATTTGGCAACTCAGGAAGAATATCATAGCAATATATACTGTCAAGTGGTGTTCTGCTATTCACGGTGGCTATGGATGACTCTCAGGAAAACAGGAGAAATCCAGGGCTGCACTGAGAGATCTATTTTAAAAAATGTATCACTTATAGCCAAATGAACACCAAATCCAAAGCTCAAGATTTACAAGCAAGTGAAATATAAATTGGCACATCAATATTGAATTACATTTTGTGGCAGCGTGGATGGGATGGGAGTTTGGGGGCACATGGATACATGTGTATGTATGGCTGAGCCCCTTCACTGTTCACCTAAAACTATCACAACACTGCTAATCAGCTATACTCCAATATAAAACAAAAAGTTAAAAAAAAATTGAATTACAAGTTGAAATGGTGAATGTAAAGGGCACAAACTATCGAATGCTGAACTACACGGCTTCTCAAAAAATTATTTCTATTCATGATGTAAGGAAAGAATCCATTCTCACCCCGAATACAGAGCCAATACACCTTCTTCTTTATAGATTCGGAACAAGGCATGAAACATTCCTCGGTATTTTATCTCTTTGAAGCGCACATCAATACTTTGGCCTTGAACTTGAAGTCGTGTTTTGGTCAGGTCCACAGGGAAAGTTCCTATGAAGTAACACACTCATTTATAAGTTCTTCCAGAGAGTCATAGTCAAATTTTGGATGAATTCAGACCAATGGCAATTTTTAAAACATAAGGCAAATATGTTTGCCATCAGAGGACAAGGGCTGTGTATGATAAAGTGAAATGTACTATATCTAGGCAGCAGGATTTGACCCACAGTGTAACTAAAACTATGATATAATAAAGTGCTTTAGCATAGTCCTAACACACTATAAATGCAAAATAACTTACATGTTGTTTTAATTTCATCTTAACATACAATCTGGCAATTATCTGTCTCTTCCTTCTGCCCCACCTCCCACCTCGTCTCCCCACTTCCCTCTCATAAAATCTCTGCAAATTTTTGCAAAGAAGATAGGAAAGCATGGGATCGCTGCTCCACATACTCTTAAATACTGTTACAAAGTTTTGTGGGTTTTTCTTTTATCTGTTTATAGGAAACAGTTTTCTAGCATTATGCAAGATAATAGTAAAGTCCTAAATAGGACTAAATAGCCTACTCATCTGGTTCCTTGGGTAATTTCAGGAGTAACCAGCACAGTGTTTAGCAGGAAAAATTCTTTAACTAAACTTCTTTCTCTTATTATATCAACATAGACAAAGTAGTCATTATATTGGCAAAATGTTTCAAGGACTATTTCAAGGTCTAAAACTAACACAGTGATTATGCAACTCTGGTCACTGATGACCCTGATATCATAACACCAGAGTTCAAGACAAGAAAGTCAAGAAAAGCTAGTGGGGTCACTTAACAAACAATTTAGGAAAGAGAATCTGGAAAATGAAAAACAATCTAAAAAGTACTTCAAAATTAAAATCAAAAAGAGAAGAATCTGGTTTGATCTTGTTGGTCAATTTTCTTCCAAAATGGGAAAGAGGTTTGAAAAAAAAAGGAGTCTGAATACTTACTAAGAAATTTATGAACAACTTAGCACAAAGGTAAGGCCATTAGTATAAGAATATAGCGGAAACTGCTATCTTACCGAACTCCTCTATATTTTCATGCATACTTCTTAAGCCTAGCAAATTAAATAATTAAACCACCAAAACAGCGTCCTAAGTTTGACTTTTCTTAACGTCACTTGCAGTAGTAGTACTTTCCAAGAAAATACTACTTGATAGCATTGAGACAAGTTTTTTTCTTATTTTTAATTGAAGGATAATTACAGTATTGTGTTGGTTTCTGGATGATTCATGTTGATGTATGAGACAACAGTTTTTAAAACAAATAGGGCAAGCTTCTTTTTCTCCACTTTTAACCAAAAATAACATTACCATATCTATACCCTAAAGGAGCAGACATGTCAGTTTCCACATTCTTACCAAACTCAGCAACAATAGAGGCAAGGCCGCCATATACAAAGGGTTTCCAATTCAGACCAGACATCTCATGGCTTACAGTGGCACTTTTCTGGTGCTAAAAATAAACACAAATCAGAACAAGGCACAAGAGTGAGGAGCACCTGTCAGTGTATGATCACAACTTAGAGCAAACAAAACAGACATAGAGAAAAACCCTACCAAGTGGAATGACACAAAATGAAGGCTCCTGTTTTATGTGATAGATGACCATGATTGTGTTCTTTACTGCCTTTCCGTAGGGGTAAGTGTGCGATTCACTCAAATGTCAACCTGTGCACTTCACATTCTCCAGTTTCTTTAGTGTTTTATCCCCATCCCACCTGAAGAAGAAGTTTCAGTCCATCTAACACACCCAACTTAGACATTCAACTAGACAATTACAAGTGAAGGAATCTGGAGTTTAAATTACATAGGCTGAGGCATCTCATAAAAGCAGTTCATGGTACTGTTAGCTTGATTCAGGTGCAAAGCACAGACTGGCATCACTACCCTCTCATATTCTTAGCCCTCTCATCTCTCCACTAAACTTTATTTCATCTAGCTATTTTCCAGCTACACAAAACCTCCTCCCACTAGGCCCAGGCCAAGTTAAGCACCTTTTCACCCTCCTTGTTTCTCTGAGGAATGACAGCAACATGGAAGATGTCTCTCTTCTCTCTGACATTTAACATATATCCATCTAGTGAATCTCCTTGTCCTGTCCTTTTAAAGCACATAAATACAAATATGTTTTTCTTTCATACTTGAGTTCTTTAACAAAGTATTCTACTCTCAGTCCTCCTTACCTCCCTCCCCCTCCTGCCCCCATTAGACCTGTCACCTTCAAATTTTTTCAGCCTATTTTCTTTTCCTGCCACTCCCAGCTATTTCTCTCTGGAATTTTATTTTCCCCACAGCTCTGCCTTCTCAAGAGTGGTTTTCAAATTTTAATGGGCACCAGAATCACCCAGAAGGCAGATTAAAACACAGATTGCTGGGCCTTACTCCTGCAAGTTTTTGATTGGTGGTCTGGGTCTGGCCTGAGAATGTGAAAATTTGCAAACAATGCTGATACTTTCAAGCTTTAAGACCTACTGCTCTAGGCCTTGCCTACTAAATTCTAGTCCTGCTGGGAGCTATTTTCTTAGGATGGCTTCTCAGATTTCTCTTAAATGTTCCTTTTTCAGATCTTCAAGGTCTGACTACTATTGAATTTCAAAAGCAACTTCAACTGGTCTTTGGCCAGGAATGAGGATTCGAAAAGTTAGACTTGCCTAGGGGTTTAAATCCTGGCACCACCACTTATTCATTCTGTGACCTCAGGCAAGTTATTTAACCTCGTGTGCCTGAGTTTGCTGAATTGTAAAATGGGGATAAAAATAAGCACTATATTATAGGATTGTTGTGAAAATTAAATAAAACACATAAAACTCTTAGAAAAGTAGCTGGCACCTAATTCAACAACTATTAGTTACCATTATTACATTTTTTGAATAGTTAAGTACTCAAATATATATTTTTTAACAGATAATACTGCCCACCTCCCCTACTGCCCAATCTGGGATTAGCACTGAATTGACAGTCTCTTTTTAGAGGAGACAAGGTTTTGCTTTGTTTCCGCACAAGGAATCCTCTGTAACTAAGCACAGAAAAACAGTTTTCCAGAAAGGATAGCTAACATGCAGACAAAGGTTTAAGAGGCCACAAAAATAATTACAGAAACTTCCTTTCATGCATAGTATGATCAGCCAGTCCATCTGACATACAGAGTCAACAATACATAGCTCTTTTGGAGGAAAACTGTTTAAAAGAATTCGAAAAAGCCAAGTAGGAATAAGTACTTTAAATATCAGCTGCAGCTTGCAAGAAGAGTCTTGAGTACTAAATACTACCTTATCAACATTTTCAATTATGCCCATATTTTAAGACTACAAATAATAGCAACACATGACACACACAATGAGAGGGTAGACATGGAAAAGCAAGGAACTGGCATATCCCTTTTCTAAGTTTAGGGGAGGGGGAATGCCCTTTCCATTCACTAATTTAGAGATTCCCCCAAACAGTCAAACATTTCAAAAGGCAGCTATGCTTCTCTCCAAGGCTCTCTCTTTATAACTTCTTTCAACTCTTCATTATAGAAGAAGCCTGACTTGACTACCTGCGACCCAGCCTTTCAATAAAGATGTACTCAGGGTTCAGAGATAATACTAATGCAGTTAAAGGCAGGGGACAAAGCCACAGCAAGGAGCAGAAAGACCAGTCACAATCTCTGGTCAGTTAGCCCAGTAGTTCTTTAATGAAATTTTCACAATTGTGAATTGAAATAAAGAAAATAAGGGCACCAAGTGCCTTTTTTCAGCTAAATGTATCTCATTTAAAGGACTATTAGAAGATCAAGTTCTTCCTACTCCTGGAGCATTTCTCAAAAATCACCTTTCTTATATGAAATGTAATAGTTGGTAGTTGATTTTGTTTAGTGTTCTTATTCGGCAAAATAAGACTGGCTACCCTAATTTGTGCCCCCTCCCCACACTTTCATTTCAATTTTACTGGTCCATGAAGCCTAAAAGTCTGGGACCACTGCCATCTTCCCACTCCCATCTGATAGTAAAATTTCTTTCCCTCCAATGCAGGGAAAGAATCTTGTTATGAAGAAATCCTGTATCATCTTTAAGTCTGATTTTAGACATTCCTTCCTCACACTGAGCCAAAAGTCTGTCTTCCTCTAGTTTTCACTCATATTTTGGAGGCAGTATGAACAATTTATTCTTTTCCCCTAGGGGAGTCCTTCATATAGTTAAAGACAGCTACCATTTTCTCCTACATCTTATTTTTTAGGCTAAATATCTACCAATAATTTTTGTTGTTCTCCATATTACACTTCAATTACTATAGATGAAAATTGCAGTCGCTTTTATGGGAGTCATATCACACTACTGAATCATTAAAATGTCAGCTATAATCTCCAAGTCTTTTACATAAGGCTGTATACATGCATGCATGTTATGTCATACCTATTCCACAGCTGTGTAATGCTCTTTTGAGCCTTCATTTATCCCTTCTATATCTTAAATCTCAGGCATACAAATAATGACTAGGATGAGGTTTATATTCTGGTTGCCTCATGTTATTTTCTCTCTTAACTAGGTAAGATCCCTGAAGGCTGGCACCTGGTCTCATAGTACTTTTTATAACCCCTAAAATAGCTTACACAGAATTGGGTACACATCCATTAAATACTTGGTTGGTTCCAGTGTGATGTCCTTTATGAATGTATACAGCCTGTATCTAAAAGGTTACAGGGGAAATCAGAAAGATAACTTGCTGGACCTGACCAATACTACACACTCTGTACATGACACTTTGCTGATCCTCAGAGACTCTCTCCCTAGGTTTTTGTTGCAGAAAATTACTTGTGTAAAATACTCCCCAAAGGATTTTGATTTGTGGGGTCTATCCCCAGATATGGGTAGAAGAAGCCACATCTGAGTTAAAATAGAAATACAGTACCTTAAGTATTTTTATTGTGTAAAGAAGCCAATGAAAAATGCCTTCAAAATGCAGACATGTATTCTGAAATCTGACTAAGGAAAATTTGACAGCCTAAAGAGTGAGAAGAATGTCCTAGAACACAAGTTACATAATCCTGTCACACTACTGCAAAGCTCTGGTCAGAAAAATCCAGGCGCTTTTCTTGGTTTCCCCTTTAAGAAAGAGTAAGCATTAGATATTCTCAGATTCAGAAGGTAAAACAGAGACTCAAGCAAATGTTTACTGAAGGCATACTAAATGCCCAAATGTGCTACAGGTACAAATGCCATGTTTTAAAAAAACCACATAACATGTTCTACCACCATGACAATATTTATGTTTCCTGGATAATTAAGGAGATGGTTGTGGGGATAAAAGTTGTAGGAAATACAGTACTTGCCTTTCAAGAGCTTATAATCCGGTGGAAGAAATCAAAGTAGTTCATCAGAGAAAAAAAAAATAAGTGCTAAACTATATAGCACAAACTATAAGAGCAGGACAAGCATGGAAAAGGAACCAATCCATGTGAGCTTGAATAATCTGGAAAAGCTTATGGAGATGAGAGAACTTAAAGTGGGCCTTGATAGAGGGCAGGCAGAATATTAACAGGTGTACGCAAAGGAGAGGGTAAGGGGAGAACAGGCTGTATACAGACTGTACACAAATTTGGAGAAAGACACAGCATGAGGAGGCAAGCATCAGAATGGTTTGTTCTCAGAAGGAAGAATGCAACCCAACTGGAACAGAGAACTATTTTATATCAAAACAATACATTGTTTACATATTGTTTATATTGAAACAGTATCAGACAAAAAGTATGATAAGGAACAGAGTCAGTTGAAAGGTATGAAATCAAAGTGAGTGTGGCAGGGTGGAAGGGATACTGTAAATTTTTGAATAGACTAGTGACCTGAGGAAATCTACCACATTTTAGTTAGCCTACTAGGGTTGAAGCAAGCAATGCGTTACAAACGGGAGAGGCAGGGAAACTAGCTTAGGATGGTGTGAAGTAAAGCAGACAAGATGTTTGTTGGCAGCAAGGTTAGAGATAAACTTCTAAAATGGAGACACAAAGGAACTTGATGATGTAGGGAATGAAGGTGAGGGAAGAGTTGATGATGACTTGAAGCGCCCCTGGCCTGAAAAAAAAAAAAAAAAAAAACAAGGAAACACTGACAGAGAACTACAAATGTCCCTGCTGTTACCTTGTCTGAGAAGCTAATTCATATTCATAATGGCTGTCATTCCAATCAGTTAGCTGAACTGCATTTTAATAGATGCCTCCAATGCCTTGATCTCAAGGAGTGACAGGGGATAGAAACTGAAAGGGAGCACCTTTCAACAGCATCCCTCACACTAGTACAATGGAGGTGTTTGCTTACTCCGCTTACAATCACGGCCGCCGTTGCAAACTTCACCCTTAGAAAAATTAGGATTATTCCGGGAAAGATACCCATTCACCCTCTGGGTAGCAGGATCTTGCCAGTTCCTCAGCTGTCAGAGCGAGTTCGTGGAGAGAAGGGAGGCGCCTTAATGAGGCGGCCTCCCTGGGGGGTCGAGGAAGCAGGGTTCAATCGAAGAAGTAAAACCACCGATGCCAGAAGAGTGAAAAACAGGGAAGGGACTCAGCTGAGGGGAGAGAGAGATCAAAGGACCGTTAAGCCCCTCCCAGGTCGGGAGCCGGGCCAGCCCGGCCCCGCGCGGCCTGGCGCGGCCCAGCCCCGCTCCCCAGCCTGGAAGTCCAGGAGCTCCCCCTCACCTGCTCGGGCTCGTCGGACGACTGGGAAGCCGAGGCTCCCACAGTCGGAAGCGCCACTGCAACGCCAACCCGGAAGTATTGATACCAACGGAAGTAACCAAGCTGTCGCCTTGGCAACGGTGGTACAGCCATCCCAACTCCGCCCCTCTGAGCCTAAAAACAGAGGCGCGAAAGAAGAGGCGAAAATGACAAGGGTCTTAACCTGGGAGTCGGGCAGGCTACCGGCGCCAAGGCCCAGAGGGGAAAACCTGACTTTAGGGAAGTGCAGGGAGAAGAGGCTAAGGGATGAGAATTTGGCAGCTTCTGCAGCTAACGTGGGCGCAGTGATGCCTTCTTACAGTATCACCACCCACCTCGCGCGTGCAAGGTCTAGGGAAAGAAGTGGGGTGGCTACGAGGGGCGGAGCGCCTGCGCGCAGAGTACGGAAATGGGGGGAGCGGGAGGGGGCAGGGCAAAGATCTTAAAAGTGGGAAAAGGCATGAGCGGTATTTAGAGGGGTGCCTGAGCTAGGGGAGGGCGGGGGGAGGAAATGGGGACGGAGGAGACAGAAATAAAGATCAGTAAGCAGATAACCTCAGCATCAGGTCTGAGGTCGCCAGGCCTTCAAAGCGTGGTTCAGTTCAGTTCAGTAGCTCAGTCGTGTCCGACTCTTTACCACCCCATGAACCGCAGCACGCCAGGCCTCCCTGTCCATCACCAACTGCCAGAGTCTAACCAAACCCATGTCCACTGAGTCGGTGATGCCATCCAACCACCTCATCCTCTGTTGTTCCCTTCTCCTCCTGCCCCCAATCTTTCCCAGCATCAGGGCTTTTTCAAATGAGTCAGCTCTTCACATCAGGTGGCCAAAGCATTGGAGTTTCAGCTTCAGCATCAGTCCTTCCTTCTCATGATGTACTCTGCATATAAGTTAAATAAGCAGGGTGACAATATACAGCCTTGATGTACTCCTTTTCCTATTTGGAACCAAAGCATGGTTAAGAAAGAGCAAATTAGAAGCAAAGAAGGGAAACATAAAAAGTTTTAGATAAAGAAATGAAGAGTGGAAATACTAACAGGGGAGTCCTAGAGTTAATCTGGACCTCACAATCAGCCAGCAAATGATAAGAGGGCCTGGTAACCAGCTTCAGGCTCTAGTCACCCCCAGGAACCAGAAGGGACAACTTCAATCACCCTAGGTGATTACGTTAACCATTGGGCTACACTTCTAAGTCTCTTGTGTGAAGGATCCATAATCACACAGGAATACAAAATAGTATGGTTTAGATGTTGAGTAAAAGTCAATGCAAAGCACGTGGCCCTAAATGATTATTTGTTAAATGAATGAATGTCCAGAATACCTTTGTTCCAAAAGGATCATTCTCATTTTAGTTCACAATTTGGTTTTTTGCCCCCACTTAAAAAATTTATTCAGGCAACACACATAGTATCAGCTGACACTATGGAATACTTACCAAGGGTGGTGCTGAAAGCTTTCTTGTGCACAAAACTACCCTATGAGACAGGGGCTATTATTTCCCCCTTTTGAAAGATAGGAAAAGTGAGGTCTTAAGAAGTTAGAGAGTAACTTGGTGAGTGGCAGAGCTGGTATTCAAATTCAGTTCTGACTTAAGAGCCCAAGCTCTTAACCACTATGCTACACTGCTTTCAACTTTAGTAATAGCCTTCTTATCTTCAGAAACTTCCTTACTCAAAATAATGTGAGAAACCTGTACGTGCATTCCAAAATGTGAATACCCTTAAATTTACATCTCAGCAAAGTACTCTCTTCCAGTCAGACTAAGGGGCTTACAGCTTAGAGTCTTCCTAAATTGTAAGGACTATATTCTCTCCCGTGACATGAACCGTATGTCTAGCTGTAGCTGTGACCTGAGCCTGTGCCTCACATCCAGACTGCCCAACCTTGTAGAATTATGGCTCTCCTTGTGACCAAATCACTCTCTTAGCTTTTCTATAAGACTGTACTGCACTTTTGTCACCTCAGCCACTGCCAGCTAATCTCACCAAACACCTAGGTAAACTTCGTTAAATGAAGTATTGTTTTCAAATGACTTATTTTAAAAGATCTGCAATAGATGAATTTTAAAATAGCATCTATAGAAACAACACTATAAACATAGAGCACACTTTTATTTAACACATTTGCAGTTTGCTTAGTTTCCAACATTTTTCTAAAGTTGCAAATTTTTAAAAAATCTAATTTGTCAAAGTTGGCCACTTTTTAATCACTTTCTGTTTATTAGTCTCTACCACATGACCTAAATTTGATTACACTGTCTTGGGTTATGCAGTAGTTGTGGGTGCCAGGAATGTTCAAATTTTGATCTCTCCAAGAGATCAGCTATTCAAGTGAATAGAATCCTTGAATCTTCAAGTCAGAAGGAGATTTAGAGGTCCCTTCTATAATATTCATTACAGACAGTTGTCCAGTCCCTGCTAGAATATTTCCAGTGTAAGCATAGATCACAAGTCAATCCATTAAGTTCTTTGATAGTTCTATTTGAAAACTCTCACTTATGTTGAACGAAAAAGTGCTTTCATCTTTATACACTCCCAAGAGAAACCCCTGGTCTTAAAAAAATGAAAAGAATTTTATTTGGAGTCAGAAGCCCATTTTTCAATTAATTGAGGTGAAGTTCACATCACTAATACAATATTATGTCAATTATATTGCAATAAAACTGAGGGAAAAACAAAAAATAAATAATAGTGATAACATTTTTATTTTCATTAAAAGTCACAATTAAGAGAGTGAAAAGGTAAACTCCAGTCTGGGAGAAGAGATTTTTAATCCACGTATCCCACCAAATCTCATATGCAGTATAAATAAAGAACTCCTAAACTCAGCAATCAAAAGACAGGCAACTCATTTTTTTTAATAGGAAAAATACTTGAAAGACACTTCATAAAAGTCTGAGAGGAAAGGGAGGCGGGAGTGTCTTTTAGGGCTGTTTACGAATCAGCTGTTTATCTTTCTCTGACTTACTTCGTTCAGCATGACAGTCTCTAGGTCCATGCATGCTGCTGCAAATGGCATTATTTCATTCTTTTTATGGCTGAGTAATATTCCATTGTTTCAGTGATTCTTAAACAGCCCTAAAAGACACTCCCTCCTCCCTTTTCTCTCCAGATTATTGTGTGTTTTGCAATAATCTTCCAGTGACCCACCTGTAGTGACCGCCTGCCTCCTATCCAGTAAATAGCCAGTGTGTTTTTTATCTCAAGACTTGACTCGGGAAGAATCCATGTCCAAACTCACTCAGGTTGTTGCAGAATTCACTTCTATGCAGCTGTACCACCAGGGCTTCACCTTCTTGCTGGCTGTTGGCCAGAGGCCATTCCCAGCGCCTGTAGCAGGCCCAGTTTCCTGTGATTTGGCCCTCTCTATAGGCAGTTCACAGGCGGTTCTATAGGCCACTTGTTTATTCCAAGCTGGCAGAAGACAAGAGCCTAAGATATGGTTTTATCAACACAGGATATAGTGGAACTATTATTTTCTGTGAAGAAAGAATATGCTTATTTTTCAAAAGTACAATAGCTTCTTTTTCTGATTATAAAAAAGTACATAATCATTTTAAAACTTTATACACAAAAAGTGAATTATACACAAAAGTCAAAAGACGGTATTTAAGGCTCCCCTTATGGTTCAGCTGGTAAAGAATCCACCCGCAATGCAGGAGACCTGGGTTCGATCCCTGGATTGGGAGTGAAAAGATGGTATAAATTACCTGAAATCCTAATATCCACAGATACTCCTCTTAATAGTGTGGAGCAACTCTTCCTAGTCTTTCTACGCCTACACATTTGCTTATTATACTATCATTCTTGTGATTTGTGTGCTCCTGTCACACGTTCCTCTAGAGTGGCCTCATGTGCTAAAGTCAGTGTTCCAAGCTACCTCTAATTTCTGGTCCCTCTACAATGACCCAATTTTAAAAGTTATGCATCTTTATGGAAGAAAAAGGAAAATACAAAAACATATACAAAGAAGTACTGGTGGCTCAGACGGTAAAGAATCTGCCTGCAAAGCAAGAGACCCGGGTTTGATCCCTGGGTCGGGAAGATCCCCTGGATAAGGGAAAGGATACGCACTCCAGTATTCCTCTCTGGAGAATTCCACAGACAGAGGAGCCTGGCAGACTACAGCCCATGGCGTCACAAAGAGTCAGACACGACTGAAGGGAGTAACACTTCTTTTCACTTTCACAAAAATATAAGGCAAACGTCATCCCCGCTACCTAGATAATGGCGTTAACATTTCTACATGTTTCCTTCCAGTCTTTCCATCATTTATATAACTGTATACAAGCCACAAGAGTGAAGGATAGGAAAACCCAGCATGCTGCAGTCCATAGGGTCGCAGAGTCAGATACCACTTAGCGACTAAACAACAATACAAGCCACACAAACCTTGTCTTAACCTCCTTTCCTCCTTATAGACCTCACTCCCTCGCTCACCCACCTTGCTGATCCTGGAGAGCCAGTCTCCCTTTCTTATTAGCCTCATAGTCTTTCCAGGATGCCAAAGCAAGAAAATCCTCGTCTAATCCTATGACACCCTCTAGTTATTGCCCAATCACCTTCTATTCACAGCCCTTGTAAAAAATTTAACAATATTTACTTAACCCAATATAACCGAAAGAATATCATTTCAGAATGTAATCAATATAAAAAGTATTAATGGGCTGTCTTACAGTTTCTTTTCTTTATACTGAGTTCTTGTGTATTTTACACCCACAACTCATCTCAGACAAGATACATTTCAAAGAGCTACATATGGTGATGTGGCCACCACAATGGACAGCAGAGATCTAATTCAATGCTCCATCTGATGGAGTATCACAGACCTTCTCCAGCATCCCCTCACTCTAAAGAATCATCTGCTGCTAAGTCACTTCAGTCGTGTCCGACTCTGTGCAACCCCATATATGGCAGCCCACCAGGCTCCCCCGTCCCTGGGATTCTCCAGGCAAGAATACTGGAGTGGGTTGCTATTTCCTTCTCCAATGCATGTAAGTGAAATGTGAAAGTGAAGTCTCTCAGTCGTGTCCGACTCTTAGCAACCCCATGGACTGC